CCGGACTTTAGCATTAATAGTAGCTACGCACGGACTCTCGTCACCTCGTGCATACGTAGACCCCGCAATTAGAAATAATTATTCAATTTAATCTCTATGGGATAATTTTCCCCTCACAAGATTAGACAAGAGACTTACCTCGCTCCGAAGTTCCACAGCCGGCTCCCAAGCTTTTCAAATAACTCGACCGATGCCCAATGCTCCAAAACTCGCTTTTGCTTTATTAACATTCACAAGCTTTTAATCCTCCTCTGACATCGTAACATTGAGTAAAATGCCCACCAACAAATTGGTATCTACAATTACAATCCCAATTACAATCAAAATATGACTCAAAAATATTTATCAATATCCATTTATGGCTCTCAAGTTGGCTACTAGCCTCCAGCTCAAATCGTCTAATAGGTTCACTTACTAGCACATTCAGCTCCACTCTTATCATTCAATACCCATTTGAAGTCATCAATAATACTACATAAATTCTCCAACACCGCCAAATTACTATTCATCGTCTTCCTTAACCAACATTTCCAAAACATTCAATTTGGTGATTACTTAGTTGAATACTTCCAACTAAGCTAGAAAATGATTCCATAGATTCATTGCATCCTTTAATTTCATTTCTAAGAACACTATTTATCTTTCCCTCATTTTCTCAAGAACACTATTCATGCCATGAACTAGAGTTTATGAAATCAATTATCTAACCATAACAACTTGAAACAAATATTAGGAATACTCTCACCGACTCATAAGAAATGAGCTTGAAGTTAGTATTACCTTCTTGAAGCTTTTCCTTGAAATTCCAATATTTGGAAAATTTAGTGTTCTTGAACAACTTGAAAGATTTCTAGGGATTTCAAAGATTGAAGGATGTTAATACTAGTGTTAATAGGATGTTATTAACTTAAAATATCCAAAAAAAAAAACCACCTTGTATTCTTAAGTAGTCCCCAAGGTCGAATCCACCATGAAAGAACCAATCCATAGCTCAAGAAAATCCCCAAAAATGGCTGTTGCCCGTGACTGCCTTATAAAGGCACAGGTGCTTCAGCGAGTTGTATCTTGCCCTATGCAGGTTGTACCTCGTATTACATGTTTTGCCCTGCTGGACACCTTTTACAAAAACGTCCATAAGTCCTTGTAGAAATATCCAAATGACGAACGGTTGAAAGAGTTAGAAACTAGACTCGAAGATCTTTCATTTGATAGGTTCTCCACAATATAACTCCTTATATATATATATATATATAGGTATGCTCGTCTAAAGTTAGATTTTTGTGTGTACTCATTTAGAACTTTAGTCTATCAAGTAATTTCCAACTTGATTAAGACTTAGGGCTCTCCTTAGACCCTACATCACTTATAATATGACTCGTTCACTTATTAACATACGAACCTGCTGGAGCCTTCAAATCCCGATTCTAAGGTCGTTTTCTCAAAATGTTGACCGAAGTCAAACTTGCCCTTTTAAGGCTAACTTAAGGAACCAAGTGTTCCGATTTCAACCCAAACACTTTCAAATCCCGAACCAACCATCCCCGGAAGTCATAAATCATTAAAAATACATTCGGGGAGTTTTATTTAGGGAAACGGGGTTCTAAAAGTCGAAACAATTGGTTGGGTCATTACAATGATAAGAGCATTTGAAACAAGAATTGAACATATATCTTTATCACAAAATTTATTGGAATACCCGATTTGTAATCAACATCTTGGAACTTACAAGGATAATGGGGATTCCAATTCTTAAAGAAGAGTTTAGCCAACATACCTCAATTGAGCTTCCTTCTAAAATGTTCCGGAATTCTTAGCAACTTCAATCTATTTTAGAAATATAACAAGTTGAACCAAAATTAGGAAGATGATCATGGTTCTAGCTCGAGCATTTTATCAAACACTTAGTGTGCATAAAGTTTCAAGGTTTTTTTTATGGAGGATTCCATCATCCCACAACCCATTCTTTATCATTTTTAGCCCAACAATCTTCTTACACCCTTTGATAACACATACATGCAAGATGAACAACTCCCATGCCCAAATATTATTTTACTAATTACCCAATTCTAGACAAAATTCGAAATTGAGGGTTAGGGTATAGAATCTTACCTCTAGGGTGAAGACCTAGTGAGTTTACCTTCTTAATCTTTCAAGGTTTGAGCAAGAATTGAAGAGCAACTGTTGAGGAACACCTTCTCACTCTAGGGCACTCTCTATCACTCTAAAATGTCAGATGTTTAGTCAAAAAATGGTCCATTGCATCTATTTAATGAAGTAGGGTCGGGTTGTAAAAACTCAAAAATGAATCTCCGAAACAAGGTTTGCGATCGCATAATCGATATGCGAACCGTAGATAAGGCCGCATAATTGGCCTTCAGAACTGGGAAAATCTGCTTGGGTTTGCGATCACTATGCGGTCCGCAGACCTATTCTACGGTCGCATAATGAACCGCAAAACAGTTCTGCAGTCGCATAGTCGATCGCAAAATGGCATCCAAACATGCCTATACCTACCTCACTCTGCGGCCATTATGCGGTCCGCAGAGTGATTCTGCAGTCGTATAATGGACCGCAGAAATGCATTTCTTTGCCAAAAACTTTCCTTTACTTAAACACGTAAGAACCAGTTCAGCACCACAAAATATTATTTTTCCTTTGCGAAATTTTACGGGGCCTTACACTTGTCTAACCCTGTGAGGGAAAACTACTCCCTAGGTGTTAATTATTATATGCAACTAGTTGTGGGTGCTATATACGCACGAGGTGACGAGAGTCCGTACGTAGCTATAGCATATTTATGTCCGGGTAGACTTAGGATATTATCATGTAATATTTGAAATACTTGAACTCATTGTGCTGGCTTACTTAATCGAAGTTATAAATGTAATTAATTTAGAAATAAAAATATGTATATTAGGCCAAGCCTTAACACTTGAGTGGTGGGCGAGTTATTTGAGAAGTGGTAAAGAATATATTCATTTTATGCTCATGTGCTATAATATAAACGCATGTCTCGAAATTTTGGGATCTTCCTCCCCTTTCTTGTGGAGTGGGCCGAATGTCTCGAAAGTATATAGATGCATCTATGGATCGTGTCGTACGTCCCTCTGCAGTGTACTCATTATTCTGAATCGGGCCGAACGACCTCGGCAGAATCATACGTTATATCGCTAGTAGTCCGGATATTCACGAGATAAATCCTTCCACGGATGCCCCGCATACTATGGTAATTCTAATTTATTAGGTATTAACACTTGGCATTGTCTTGAGACATCACGACAAAAATATAAGATCGAGAAAGTTATGCTTTAAAGGAGAAAAAAATTAGAAAGTTATGAGTTATAGAGTTACTCCATTATTGCTATATCCTTCATATCTGTTATGAATCATTATATTGCTTTACTGGACTTTTAGTAAGTGTTGATGTCGACCCCTCATCACTACTTCTCCGGGGTTAGGCTAGATACTTACTGGGTACGCGATGATTTATGTTCTCATGCTGCACTTCTGCACTAAATGTGCAGGAATTGACAGGTTCATTTTGTGATCATCTTGGCGCGAAGGCGCACCTACTGAGGAGACGTTACGTAAGCTGCATTCCAGGCTATACATCGCAGGCGTCCGAGTATCTATTGTAGTATTTACTTTATTCTGTCTTATTACATTCGGGACAGATGTTGTATTTATTATTGCACTCCTTAAACAATGCTCATGCACTTGTGACACCGGATTTTGGGAGTTTTCTTCGGATTATTTATTATTGTGGTTTGTGTAAATATTCTCATTTACTTTGTAAATTCTATTTTATATTGTTCAATTAATAAAAAAACTTTCGATTTCAAAAATACTAAAATGAGTAAGTAAATTGGTAATTCACTGTTGGCTTGCCTGGCAGTGGCATTCGGCGCCATCACGACCTGTAGTGGATTTTGAGTCGTGACTACAGATATGCCTGATAGATAATTTATGGATAACGTATAATAAAAAAGACACTAAATATTTTATTCTATGCCAACATTTTACATACAAGAGCCAAGAAAGAAAATGTAAATATTATGTGATATGTAATACATGGTAATGATTTTAGACTCTATAAAAGATTTAGATAAACCTCTTTTTAAAGGTTTTAATGATTTTACTGAAGCATTAGACTATGCAAGGGGTATATTAGGACCAAATTACTATATCTCTCCAGCACTCACTCAAAACCCAAAAATAATTCCTCAATATAATATTCAAATTGATACTGACAAGATAATCTTCTGTTATCATTGTTCATCAATGATTGAAGCCTTCAAGAGACTCAACCAAAAGAACAAGTTTTTAGTATAAGAAAAAGCAAGACTAGTGGAGCAGTGAAAGTGTTAGAATACACACTCCAAGCAGTAAATTTTAAGTTAGCGCAATCTCAGACCCAAGTTATCTCTTAACAAAGGTGTAGCCCATAACAATTGAGTTCTCCATCTCAATTTCAAAATAAAATGGATGAGAAGGGTATGCATTCCCCAATGAATGTAATGACATCCACTGTATCAGATAGAGATACAGCTAGTCCGGTTCAAATGGTAGACGATAAAGACTTATCAAATCTGTTTATAGCTGCCACTTTGCCAAAAAGTGAAGATGAAAATTTATCAAGCCAAACAAGACGAAGACGACCTAGAACATTGGTGCAAGGAGAAGCATTGAAAAAGAAAGGAATAATCTCAAAAAAGAAAAGAAAAAAGAGAAAATAGAAGATACGGTTAAACAAACATTAGAAAACAAAAATTCAAGACAAGGAGAAGCAAGACAAACATATGATTAGATATTCCAATTCAGAAATATCTCAGAGCTCAGGAGAAGATAATAATGTAAATTATCAAGATTATCAAGATGCTCAAGACCCAAATGATGATTCAGGAATGAGTTTTGACTCAATAACTTTACATAATCTTGACACATAGAAGCAGACCTTAGTCATAATAGAAAGAATAAAATAAAGGAAAAGACAAAAAATAGCGAGGAATAAAAAAAAAGACTTTGGCAGAGGCACAATAATGCAATAAAGAGACATTTTGAAAAAGACAATACAATGGAAAGGCATCCTCTACAATAAATCAAGGACAATAATGCAAGACCTACAGTAAATCAAGAACAATAATGCAAGATAGATTCTGATATATATATATATNCACAAGAGAACCCCTAGTATATTATGCTGAAAGTTCACATGTAAAAAATTCGAACTCCGGTATTTTCCAGATTTTGAATAGTGTTTTCGTTCAAATTTATCTTTACATGAAAAGTGGCTAAATTTCAATTACTTTTGAAACTGTGGCTATTTTTCAATTACCACTTGTAAATCTGATTATTTTTGAATTTCTCCCCCTAAAATATGGTTGGAAAAAATTGGGTTAAAATAGCACAGGCTAGCCAGTTTTCGGACTAATAATTGAAAATTTGACAGCGTTTGCAAAGTCATTGAAAAATAGCCATTATTTTGCTGCAACACGAAAAGTTCCAGTATAATATACTGGAGATTGGAGCACCTGTGTATGAACATCCAAAATATTATGCTGGAACTCCAGCACATAGAAAGATCCAGCATAATATACTGGAGATTGGAGCACCTATGTATGAACTTCCAGCATATTATGTTGGAACTCCAGCACATTATGAAATTCCAGTATGTTATGCTGGAAGTTCACACGTAAAAAATTCGAACTCCAGCATATTATGCTGGAATATTTTTCGGATTTTGAATAGTGTTTTTGTTCAGATTTGTTTTTACATGAAAAATAGTTAAATTTCGATTACTTTTAAAACTATGGCTATTTTTGAATTTCATGCCTAAATTGGGTTGCATAACCACTTATTCTACCACATAATGGGCTTTCATAGCCATTTACAATGTTAAAATTAAGAAAGTGTCATTTTTAGATCTTTTATGTGTAAAAAATAAATCTTTTATGTGTAAAAGTAAATTTCTCGTGCGTAATAAAAGAAATATTTATAAAATTAAAAACAAGTTTGTAAAGACCCACAAAATCATATTCTACCGGCTTTTAGAGTTTATTCACATCTTAAAATATAATACCAAAATAGCCAAATTTTAATTATAAAGACGTTTTTGCCCCCAACACAATCTCCCTCTTCAGCTACTCAACAACGCTATTAACTTTCTTTTTAGATTAAACAAGATTTTTTATTCAAAATTGTCCCTCATGTATAGGATTAAGTATATTTTTGTCCCTTTAATATATCCTTGAGCATTTTTAATTTCTTAGGTTTGCTAAAACACCTTTGGTCTAACTAACAAAAATAGATTAAAAACTAACGGTGCCACCATCAGCTATCCTAGACGGTTTGATGGGGTTCGACATTGGACCAAACTCTGTCAAGACTTTCAATGATGGCTTGAAGACTATTTAAACAGTAATCTAGAATAGACCAATGGCGGTGTTTGAAGTTGACAAGTTTGCTGTAGGAACTGAGATACCGATTTTCATTCCTCGTATTTGTTAATTACCACCTGCAGAGGTTTATAATAGAAAGGGAAAGTGAATAAAACTAGTTTACGTGGCTTTGTAAAATAAAAAGGAGAGGAATACGTTGGTTTACCAGGTCACTAATTGCATTAATTTTGTAATTTACTTATTATTCTAATCATTTGGTGAGGGTGTAATATTAATGTTTGTGTATGTTGTTAATGTTTACCTTCAATTCTGATAGTGTTGTTTCTGTAACTGAAGAGTAAATAGAAAAGCATGTTAAAGTAGTGATAGGCAATTGCAAAGAAGCTTGCAGAACTAAGTGGGAAAGAGGTGACACGACTCATAGGCGGATTCAGAATTTCAGAAGGATGAGTGCACTATTGTGAAGAGGTGGATATAAAATTTATATTTGACTGGTTTAGTTTTAGTCTCTTACCATGACCCACTACACTTTTAAAATTATAGGTTCAAAATTATATTCTTTTCGAAATTTTAGTAATTNCTAATTACTAAAGAACTTGGTATTTTGGCTTACTTCTTATGCTTAAATGAAATAAACAGTAAAAACAAGGCCAACAATTTTTACGTGAAAAATCACCCTACTCAATGGTGCAAAAACCACGACCTACCACATATGATTTTAACTTCAACTTCACTAGAACAAATGAGTCAAATGTACTGATTATAAGACATGTAAACCAATACATACACTTCTCCTACTTCAACTATTTGAATAAATTACAAGTTACTCTAACTTGTATGCTCAAACAGTCACTCCAACTGACATAATATGAACGACCTCTTGATTATAAATCGATTTTCTAATACACATGAACTAACAGTCTCAAGAAGAACTGTAACGATCCGGCTGGTCGTTTTGAGTATTATAACTCCGTTCCCCAATTTGCTGCTCAATTTATGCCTTACAGTTGATTTATGACTTATCGGATTAGTTGGTTCGTGTCCGGGAGGCTTTCGGAGTGAAATGAGACACTTAGTCTCATAATTAAAAACGTAAGTTCGAAAGATTGACCGGATATTGACTTATGTGTAGACAACCTTGAAATTTAATTCTGATGATTCCAATAGCTCCGTATGGTGATTTTGGACTTAGGAGCATGTCCGAAAAATTATTTGGAGGTCCATAGTGGAATTAGGATTGAAATGCCAAAAGTTAAATTTTTGGAAAGTTTGACCGGGGGATTGACTTTTTGATATCGGGGTCGGAATCCGATTCTGAAAATTTGAATACCTCCGTTATGTAATTTATGACTCGTGTGCAAAATTTGTGGTCAATCGGACGTGAATTGATACGTTCCAGCGTCGTTTGTAGAAATTGGAAGTTTTGAAGTTCATTAGGCTTGAATATATGTGTGATTAGCGTTTTTTGTGTTGTTGGATGTGATTTGAAGACTCGACTAAGTTCGTATGATATTTTAGGACTTGTTTGTATATTTGGTTGAGGTCCAGGGGGCCTCGAGTGAGTTTCGGATGGTTAACGGATCAAATTCGGACTTAAGACCACTGCTGGAAATTTTGCTTCTGGTATTTTTGCACCTGTGGAAGGTCTGATCGCAGGTGCGAAGCCGCATGCACGCACCAGCCATCGCAGAAGTGACCAGACGTGAAGAGGGGTAGTAGTCGCAGGCGTGAAGAGATTTCCGCACCTGCGAGGTCGCAGGTGCGAAAAGGAACGCGCAGAAGCGGAGGGAACATTTTGGGCGATCGCAGATGCAGACATTTCGTCGCACCTGCGAGACCATTGATACAGCTCATCTGGTCGTAGGTGCGACAGGCCCTGGACATAATAAAATTGGAGGAGTTCCGAGCTTTTGTCATTTTTGGGCATTTCAATCTCGGGTTGGGCGATTTTGAGCGAGGTTTTCATGGGAAAACATGAGGTAAGCCTCTTGTGATCATTTTTACTCTATAATATTGAATTATCATCGAATAATCCGACTAGATTACGTGTTTTTGAGGTGTAAATCGGGGGTTTGAACTTAGGGATTTGAAAAATAGATTTGAAGTTTTTGGGGTCGAGTTGAGGTCGAATTTTGGTAAAATTAGTATGGTTAGACTCGTGGTTAAATAGGCTTTCGAATTTTGTAACTTTTGTCGGATTCTGAGACGTGGGCCTCACGGGCGAATTTTGAGCTAAATTTCGGATTTCTTTTATGGAAAACTTGCATTTTCTTATGGAATTAATTCCAATAAATTTTATTGACTGAATTGAATTGTTTGTGGCTAGATTCGAGGCGTTTGGAGGCCAATTCACGAGGTAAAGGCTTAGCGGAATATGAAGTTCACGGTTTGAGGTAAGTAACTGTTATAAATCTGGTCCTAAGGTTATGAAACCCCGTATTTTTGTGTCATGTGATTATTTTGGAGGTGACGCACATGCTAGGTGACGGGCGTGTGGGCGTGCACCGAGAAAATTGTGACTTGGTCCGTCCCATGGAAACTGTATAGTTGAATAATTTATTGTTAGCTATATGCTCTCTATGTGTTAAAGAAATTTGGCTGCAAATCATGTTAGGAATCATGCTTAGGCAATGTGATAGTACTGTTGGGACCCGCAGAGGTCGCGTACTTGTTGAATTATTTGCTAATTTATGTCTTGTACTCAGTCATGATTTTACTTGCGTATCATACCTTAGTCTTTCTTGATTTTGTCGATACACTATGTTATCTTTGTTTGGATTGATCTTTGTGATTTTCGAGAGCCGAGAGACTAGAGAGGTTGAGGACTAAGTAAGGCCGAGGGTCTATCGGTGAGGTAAGGATATTATAGCACGTGAGTTGTCTGTGCGGGATATTATAGCACGTGAGTTGTCCGTGCGGATTATGGCGCTTGGGCTGTAGGAGTCCCTCCGGAGTTTGTACAAACCCAGTGAGCGCGGGTACCCATTAAGTGTGCGTACTGAGGGCTGAGAGTCGAGTGGTTGAGCTGTTGTGACGAGTTGAGTAAATGTTGGCCTGAGAGGCTGTACTTGCTTTTCATTTGTTGTTGCACTTAGTTGCTATCTGTTATTGTTGTGAAATTCTCTGAAAGATTTTATATCCGAATTACATGAACTTGAACGGTATAAAATTGATTTAACTTAAACTGCTGGAATTGATAGCATGTCTACTCTCTGCTGGAATTACTGAAAATGAACTATAACTATGTAGCTCGTCATTATCTTCAGTTCCTTAGTTATTATTGTTACTTGCTGAGTTAGTTGTACTCATACTACACCATGCACTTCGTGTGCAGATCCAGGTATTTTCGGACATAGCAGGTGTTGATTCTCTCGCACAGTTGATTTTTCGGAGATTCAGAGGTAGCTTCCGCGTTTCGCAGACCTTGTCTCTCCTTCCCTATCTCCTTGTTTATTTTATTTGGTCTTAGATTATTATAGACCATATTTTCCAGACTGATATTCATATTAGATGCTCATGTACTCAGTGATACCAGGTTTTGGGAGTGTTTATATATGTATTTGTGAATTTTCTTCCGCTGTATTTAATCATTTTGCTTTTAAACATAAAAGATATGGGAGTTTATTGAGTTTGTCGGCTTGCCTAGTATTTAGATAGACGCCATCACGATAGGTGAGATTTTGGATCGAGACAAGTTGGTATCAGAGCCTAGGTTACATAGGTCTCACGAGTTATGAGCGGGTTTAGTAGAGTCTTGTGGATCGGTACGGAGACGTATGTACTTATCTTCGAGAGGCTGCAGAAACCTTAGGAAAAACTTTACTTTCTTATATTCTGTCGTGCGAATTTGTGATTCCGGAAATTAAATTTCTGTTATTCTATTCTCTCATAGATGGTGAGAACACGCACTACCGGATCGTACGGTCAGCCACCAGTTCCACCAGTAAGGGCCGCGAGAGACCGGGGCCGTGGTAGAGGCCGGGGCCGAGGAAGAGGTCGAGGTATAGCTCGTGCAGCAGTTGGAGCAGGTTCCGGATACAGTCGAGCCGGCGGGACCGGTTTAGGCACCAGCTACACCTATTGTGATTCCAGGCCTTCAGGAGGATCTGTCCCATATATTGACAGTTTGTACTAGTCTTGCACAGGTGGTTTCGACTCAGGCCGCACCTGCCACTTTTCAAGCCGGAGGAGGTACTCATACCCCTGTTGACCATACTCCAGACCAGGAAGTATAATGACTTCATATACCGGGAGCACTACCAGCCCAGCCGGTTGCAGCTGCTCAGGCCCCGGTAGTTCCTGTTATGGCAGATGATGAGCAGAGGAGGGTTGAGAGATTTGAGAGGCTTCGACCTCCACCATTTAGCGGTGCTGAGTCAGATGATGCTCAGGATTTTCTGGATAAGTGTCAACGGATGCTTCGAAAAGCGGGTATTCTAGAGACCAGTGGGGTCTCCTTCACTACTTTTCAGGTTTCTGGGGCTGCCTTCAGATGGTGGGAGGCTTACGAGAGGTGTAGGCCGGTCGGCGCAACACCCCTTACCAGGCAGCAGTTCTTCGATCTATTCCTGGAGAAGTTCATGCCTCAGTCCCGCAGAGAGGAGCTGCATAGGCAGTTCGAGCAGCTTCGTCAGGGTGATATGTCCGTGACATAGTATGAGATGAGATTTTCAAAATTGTCCCGTCATGCTATCTGGTTGATTGCCACAGATAGGGAGAGGATCAGGAGGTTCATAGATGGCCTCACTTTTCAGTTGTGATTACTCATGACTAGAGAGAGTGTCTGGTGCTACTTTCGACGAGGTTGTCAACATTGCTCATCAGATTGAGATAGTTCGCAGCCAGGAGCCAGTTGAGAGGGAGGCTAAGAGGCCTCCTAGTTCAGGTGATTTCAGTAGTGTTCCTTCAGGTGGTCAGTTTTACTGTGGTAGGAGTCGTTCTTGCAGACACGCTCAGACGGGTCGTCCAGCTCATCATGGTGCATCAGCTAGCCAGAGTTCATACAGTGCTCACTCAAGCCAGCCTTCATTCAGTGCACTACCAGTGCAGAGTTCTCACCATGCCTCATCCGCTTAGGCTTCTATAGGTAATTCCTCGGGTTATTAGGAGCAACATTTCCATCAGAGGAGGGGTTGTTTTGAATGCGGAGAATTGGGCCATTTTAAGAAAGATTGTCCTAGGCTGTTGAGCGGGGCTCTACAACAGAGTTCTCGAACAACGGCACCAACACCAGTAGTTACACTACCCACTCAGCCAACTCGGGGTGGGGGTCAGGCAGCTAGGGGCCGCCCAAGAGGGGGAGGCTGGTCAGGTGGCGGACATGCCCGATTCTATGCTTTTCTTGCCAGGCCAGATGCTATTGCTTCAGATGCAGTGATCATAGGTATTGTTTCAGTGTGCCACAGGGAGGCTTCTATATAATTTGACCCTGGATCCACTTATTCATATATATCATCATATTTTTCTCATTATCTAGACATGCCCCGTGAGTCCTTAGTTTCACCTATTTGTGTGTCTACACCAGTGGGCGATATTATTACTGTGGACCGTGTGTATCGGTCGTGTGTGGTAACTATTGGGGAACTGGAGACTGGAGTTGATCTCTTATTACTTGGTATGGTTGATTTCGATGTAATCTTGGGTATGGATTGGTTGTGGCCATATCATGCTATTCTGGACAGTCACGCAAAAATTGTGACGTTGACGATGCCGGGGTTGCCAAAGGTTGAATGGAGAGGTTCTCAAGATTTTGTTCCTAGCAGGGTAATTTCTTATTTGAAGGCTCAATGTATGGTTGGAAATGGATGTTTGTCATATTTGGCCTTTGTGAGAGATGTGGATGCAGATACTCCTATTATTAATTCAGTACCGGTCGTGCGAGACTTTCCGGATATATTTCCTGCAGACATGTCGGGTATGCCACCCGACAGGGATATTGATTTCGGTATTGACTTGGTGCAGGGCACTCAACCCATTTTTATTCCTCCGTATCGTATGGCACCAACTGAGTTAAAAGAATTGAAAGAGCAACTTCAGGAATTCCTTGAAAAGTGGTTTATTAGGCCTAGTGTGTCGCCTTGGGGTGCGCCGATTCTGTTTGTGAAAAAGAAAGATGGTACTATGCGGATGTGCATCGATTATAGGCAGTTGAACAAAGTTACAATCAAGAATAAATTTCCTTTGCCGCACACTTATTTGACCAGCTTCAGGGAGCGAGGGTGTTCTCCAAAATTGATTTGAGATCTGGATATCACTAGTTGAAAATTCGGGATTCGGATATTCTAAAAACGGCATTCAGAACTCGTTATGGCCACTATGAATTTCTTGTGATGTCTTTTGGTCTAACCAATGCCCCAACAATATTTATGCATTTGATGAATAGTGTATTCCAGCCATATCTTGATTTATTTATCGTAGTATTTATTGATGATATCCTGGTGTACTCACGTAGCCAGGAGGAGCATGCACAATACTTGGGTATTGTATTACAAAGATTGAGAGAGGAGAGACTTTATGCCCAATTCTCTAAGTGTGAGTTCTGGCTTAGTTCGGTGGCATTCTTGGGACACATAGTGTCTAGTGAAGGGATTAAGGTGGATCCAAAGAAAATTGAGGCAGTTCAGAGTTGGCCCAGACCATCTTCAGTTACTGAGATTTGGAGTTTTCTCGGCTTGGCTGGTTATTATCGTCGCTTCGTGGAGGGTTTCTCGTCTATTGCATCACCTACGACTAAATTGACTCAGAAAGGTGCTCCGTTCAGGTGGTCGGATGAATGTGAAGAGAGCTTTCAGAAGCTCAAAACAGCTTTGACTATAGCTCCAGTATTGGTGTTGCCTACATGTTCAGAGTCTTATACTGTGTATTGTGACGCGTCGCGTATTGGTCTCGACGCAGTGCTTATGGAAGACGGTAGGGTGATTGCCTATGCATCCAGACAGCTAAAGGTACATGAGAAGAATTACTCGGTCCACGATCTTGAGTTAGCAACTATTGTTCATGCCTTGAAAATTTGGCAGCATTACTTGTACGGTGTCAAGTGTGAGGTATATACCGATCATCAGAGTCTACAATATTTGTTTAAACAGAAGGATCTTAATTTGCGGCAACGAAGGTGGTTGGAGTTGCTTAAGAATTATGACATTACCATTCTCTATCATCCTGGAAAGGCCAATGTACTGGCCAATGCCTTGAGTCGTAAGGCAGAGAGTTTGGGCAGCTTAGCATACTCCGGTGGCAAAGAGGCCTTTAGCCTTGGATGTTCAGGGCTTGGCTAACCAGTTTGTTAGATTGGATGTTTCGAAGCCGAATCGAGTTTTGGCTTGTGTGATTTCTCGGTAATCTTTATATGATCGCATCAGAGAGCGCAGTATGATGATCCACATCTGCTTGTCCTTAAGGACACGGTTCACCATGGTGATGCCAAGGAAGTCACTATTGGAGATGATGGTGTATTACGGATGCAGGGCAGGCTATGTGTGCTTAATGTAGATGGTTTGCGTGAGTTGATTCTCCAGGAAGCTCACAGTTCGCGGTACTCCATTCATCCAGGTACCGCGCAAATGTATCAGGATTTGAGGCAACACTATTGTTGGAGGCAAATGAAGAAAGATATAGTTGGATTTGTAGCTCGGTGTTTAAATTGTCAACAGGTAAAGTACGAGCATCAGAGACCAGAAGGATTACTTCAGAGGCTTGAAATTCCAGAGTGGAAATGGGAGCGTATTACCATGGACTTCGTAGTTGGGCTTTCACGGACTTTGAGGAAGTTTGATGCGGTTTGGGTGATTATAGATCGTTTGACTAAGTCCGTGCATTTTATTCCAGTTGGTACCAATTATTCTTCGGAGCGGTTGGCTGAGATTTATATCCGCGAGATTGTTCGCCTACATGGTGTGCTAGTGTCCATCATTTCAGATCGGGGCACGCAATTTACATCACAGTTTTGGAGAGCAGTGCAGCGAGAATTGGGCACCCAGGTTAAGTTAAGTACATCATTTCACCCTCAAACGGACGGACAGTCCGAGTGCACTATTCAGATATTAGAGGATATGCTACGCGCTTGTGTCATTGATTTTGGGGGTTCATCGGATCAATTTTTGCCACTCGCGGAGTTTGCTTATAATAATAGCTACCAGTCAAGCATTTAGATGGCTCTGTATGAGGCTTTGTATGGGAGATGGTGCCGGTCTCAGCTGGGTTAGTTTGAGCCGGGTGAGGCTAGGCTATTGGGTAGTGACTTGGTTCAGGATGCTTTAGAGAAGGTCAAAGTGATTCAGGAACGGCTTCGCACGGTGCAGTCTATACAGAAGAGTTATGCCGACAAGAAGGTTCGTGATGTTGTTTACATGGTTGGGGAGAAGTTTCTACTCAAGATTTCACCCATGAAGGGTGTGTTGAGGTTCGGGAAGAAGGGCAAGTTGAGCCCTCAGTATATTGGGTCTTTTGAGATACTTAAGAAGATTAGAGAGGTGGCTTATGAACTTGCCTTGCCACCTAGTCTATCAGGTGTTCATCCAGTGTTCCATGTATCCATGCTCCGGAAGTATGTCGGGGATCCATTTCATATTCTGGATTTCAGTACAGTGCAGCTGGACAGTAATTTGACTTATGATGTAGAGCCGGTGGTTATTTTAGACCGGCAGGTTCGAAAGCTGAGGTCAAAGAACATAGGATCAGTGAAGGTACAGTGGAGAGGCCATCCAGTCAGAGAAGCTACTTGGGAGATTGAGCAGGAGATGCAGGGCTAATATCCACACCTATTTGAGACTCCATGTATGATTCTAAACCAGTTCAAGGACGAACGTTTGTTTAAGAGGAGGAGAATGTAACGACCCGGCCGGTCATTTTGAGTATTATAACCCCGTTCCTCAATTTACTGAATTTATGCCTTACAATTGATTTATGACTTATCGGGTTAGTTGGTTCGTGTCCGGAAGGATTTCGGAGTGAAATGAGACACTGAGTCTCATAATTGAAAACTTAAGTTGGAAAGGTTGATCGGACATTAACTTATGTGTAAATGATCTCGAAATTTAATTCTGATGATTCCAATAGCTCCGTATGGTATTTTTGAACTTAGGATCGTGTCCGAAAAATTATTTGGACGTCCGTAGTGGAATTTGGATTGAAATGCCG